GAGAGAGTTGTGAAGGGTGGATTTACTAATTTTGTAGAAAAAAGTAACAAATCTATATAAAGCTATATTGGAATTGTTATTATTTACTAACAGACATCTGTGATCGTCAGATCGGCCCAGATTCAATATAGGTCATTGCTCATTTTTTCTTGTGAGTCCACTGGCTGACCGCTAGAGTAAATGCCAATAGCTCAGATTGAATCTGGGTCGATCTGACGATCACAACCTCTTTTCGTGTTTGAATTTTAATTTGCTTTCTATAAATCCAAATCAGTTGAAATTTCAGGTATAAGTTCTTCTTATCAAGACTCACCTAATAAATAAATAAAAAAAATATTCCACAAAAATAAATTGACCAAAATTCCCCCAAAACTTTATAGGAGGTATTTTGGTTAATATTTTTCATGTAAAATATTTATTTAATATTTTTTGAAGATTCACCTATTTTTTATGTACACACACTCCAAATTTCAGAACATTCCGATTTGTAGAAAAAACAATTAAAATTTAAACACTACCGGACATCTAGGATCGACAAATTGGCCCAAATTCAATCTAAATCGTTGGCGTTTAATGTAGTAGTATGCCATTGGGCTGGCAGGATCTTTTCCCATATATCTATATATATATAGGATGTAGTTTGTATAGAGCCTGGGCTCTAAACAATCAAATTAGAGCCTACTTTCAAATAGTATCGAGACATGTGGTTTCAATATTGAAAATCTTTGTGATAGTTTTAAATGTCTTTCCATCTTTATTTATAAAGTTTAATGCTTCAGAAATAGTGTAAATTGAAAGGTCTATGAAAACTTGAAACTCTTGAAAATTGACTGTCCAAAAATTTGTTATCAAATTCATTATTTTTAAAACTTGAAATCTATTTTTTTCTCATGTCATTACATCTTGATGTCGAGATGATCAATTTAAGCATCAAAACAACCTCTTCTAGTGAAATATTTGTAGTAAGCTCTAATTTGATTATTTAGAGCCCCTGCTCTATGTAAACATTTTTCATATATATATATATATATATATATATATACTTGTGTAACATACCCCAAGCCATTTAATTAGGCATCTAATTGTTTGGAGTAATTGGCTGATTGTGACCTTCTTGAAACAAAGAAAAATAGTCTCAAAATATACCATTTCAAATAGAAAAGCCATAACCCGGCCAATGTACAACATGAAGACCATGTTGGGCCCGCCCTGCTTATTTACACCCCGAGGGCTATGTTGCCAAGATGCCTATGTTTGAGTGAGAGAGATAGAGAGAATGTGTGTTTGTAGCCAACATGCCTTTGCTTCCACAATGAGAGATAAAGATGTGAGGAATGGGTGAGTTATGAGAAGCGCAGTGAGAGAAAAACTAATGTGTGGATAGACTTGTGTTGTTTATTGAGAGGACGGTTTACGTGGGTGAGATTTGAATGTGTAGTGATTGGGAGACATGTACATACATTTGTAGTGAGAGAAAGTTGACATTGTGTAGTGAGAGAAAATTGAGTAAGTGCAGACGATAATGAGATCTGAATTTTAGTAAAAGAGAGAATGTAGAAAAAGGAGAAGATTGTGTTTGTAGTTGAAACCTTTAGAGAGTGGAGCCCTACAAGAGCAAGAATGAAGCCACAACAAAGCTAAAAGCGCAAGAGAGGGAATGGGACATATCCATTTGAATGCCTTTTGGTCGTCCCCATTGAGAGAGAGTAAAGGGGCAGTTGATGGTTTTTTATGGGAAAATAAACTAGAAGACCACACTTGTATTTAGTATATGAATGTCGCAATCAAACTTGATCATTGCATGTGAAAGTGGATGGCTGAGTTTGTTCTATTGACTAGGCCAAAACAAAGTTTAACCAAACTTTATGACATACAAAACATGTTATATTATACGTTTGATGGTAATAGGTAAGTCTAATGGTCATAAGTGATTGTAATCTCCTTGCACCACCAAAAAAATAAAAAAACCATATATTAAAGATAAATGATCTTACATCAACAAAATGTAAAGTCTTAAAAATAATCATAGCATTAACCAAGGGCAAGGGAGTCAATGCTCTCACGGGGAATGAAATCTTTTTTAGCATTATAAAATAATGGTAGAACATCTTTAAATTTATTATGTTAAATTTCCATATAACAATTCTATAAATAATAATATAACATTCCATAGGTTCCTTATTTCCCATTTGATATATGGGCACAAATTGTTATGTATTGGATCAAACCCACCCTACCCTAATATAGCTTTATATGGAATTCTACACTATAGGATTAGTTATATTATTTCAAAGAGAGCACGATTGCTACTAACCATTACATATCAAATTGGATGGCTTGGGGTGTACGAAAAATTTTGAGGATTTTTTTTTTTTTTTTTGAAGCTTGAGCCTAATGAATAACACACTAACAACCACCCGATTCAAAATCTGATGGACGAGAGTGATTGCGACCTTGTTTTATTAAAAAAAAATAGTCTCTTTTGTATACTTTCCAAATCAAATACCTTAGCCAGTCATTTTTCATTTGTTTTTCTTTTCTATTTTCCTTCTATCATAGCCTTAGTAGGTTTTCCATTGATAGACACTTCCACATACATAAGCTCTCGCGTAATTTCTTATGGGTGGGGCTTCTGGTAATGGGAAATTGCTTGATAGGCAGGCTACAAGAACAGCACCATCACCTGTACCTGTAGAGAAAGAAATGAACCAGATATTATTTTTTTTATTTTGGAACGTAAAAAAGAACCAGACATGAAACCATGGAAGACTGGAAGCAGAATAAACATATATTTCTCTGCCTACTAGAAATGTATATTTCTTTGCCTGAAAGCAGGATAAATATATCAAGACAATATCCACATGAAAATACAATGTGATTCAACTTAAGACAAGGCCAGAACAAGAAACCCTTGTACTTGTTTTTGAGAGTATCCTAACCTGGTCCTGTGTTAAAAAGAAATGATGTTCCGCTGAACAATCATAAAGGATGTCACTGTTTTGCTACTATGATTATTACTCCCAGATAATCTTGATTGTAAGGTTATAAACCCATACCTTGATTGTAGTCAGCAACATGTTTCTCACGTGAAGTATCTCCCGGTCAGTTTCTACACAAAAACCTGATTGTGTGGTTATTGCTGCCACTGCATTATATCAAATGACTATTATTACGTTGTCGTTATGTAATAGAGCTTCAAGCAAGGATAGTTAAAGCTTCTTACCACAGGAAGTTAACAATTAACCACAAAATATGTCAGAGGGGAAAATGCACAATGCTCAGTGATTATCGAATATGGTTCCGCATTGGCTCACTAGAATTAACTGACAAGGTCAACAAACTCACAAAGAGTTCAGAGATTCCCATAAATACAATCATTAAGCATTCCTTATTTTTTAATATTAACTTGGGACCTGGTGAGAATCAAACTCTAGATGCCATGTTATGCCACTCAACCACCACCCTGACCACTTCTGCTTAGAGCATGTTCTCAGCTATTAGACATTTTTTTTTAACTATATAGTCATTCTACGTTTTAAGCTATTAGACATTTCTTTTTAACTATATAGTCATTATACGTTTTAAACAGGAAGTGCAAGAATCCATCAGACCAATAAATTATTCAAAATTTCAAATATTCTCCTGAACAAAAAGGAAATCCATTTTAATATAACTATAAAGAAGCATATTGTGACCACTCTGCTTTAGAACCTGTTCTCAGCTATTTTGATCACTTCGCATTAGAGCTTGTTCTCAAACTGTTCTACTTAAATCCATTTTGATTTTAAGTATAAAGAAGCAGATTGTGACCACTCTGTTTTAGAGCTTGTTCTCAGCTATTAGACATTTCTTTTGAACTATATAGCCATTCCATGTTTTAGACGGGAAGTGCAAAATTCTCATCAAACCAATAAATTATTCAAAATTTCAAATGTTCTATTGAACAGAAAGGAAACCCATTTGGTTTAGGTATAAAGAAGAAGATTTAACAGCAAATATGCCCTATTCATGTCAGATTGGCTTGGTGAGAACCAAAGTATGGAAATTTGACGAAGTATCAAAGGAATCTAAATTGTTTTCCATCAAAAATACATCATTGATTATAATTGTGGAAAACATCAAAACTCCCAATGCAAACAAAGTTAAAGATGGTGAAGCACACTTAGCTTAACTACCCAGAACAAGATCAGTGATCACCTGCAAAGGATATAGCCAATAGGATGCCAGGGAAGGTCCCACACATTGTTTTCATGTGCATTATTCACTTCATCATGAGGTTTTTCATGCCCATCCATTGGCTAGTAGCAGCAATTCCACAAGATGAGGTATAAACAAATTGGAACCATAACAACAAAAAACAAAATGCCATTATAAATACTGTGATGAAAGAAAAATTACTCTTATTTTCGTTTCTTATGTAATATTTTAATTTTAATTTTAGGGTATACTTGTAGGGCTTTTAAGTTTTTTGGGGATTCTAGGGTTTTGTTTTTGTATTTTTAGGATTCTAGGAGTTCTTTAGAAAAGTAGTTAGACTACTTATGGAATAATTGTTTTATTAGGTAAGAAATATTATTACGAATTTTGATTTAAGATATGATGATTTGCCAATCTTGTTTTGGTGAAGGGAGCCGAGGGAACACAACGACAAAGATCATCGCACGTGAAAAGAACAGCACCTAAGGCACGCCAGACGAGTAAGGAAGCGGAGTAGTCTTCGCGAGAGATCAAGCTATTCATAGTTTTCGCGAGAGATCCTAGAGATGTAAAAGACGCAGGTGGAGGTCTAGATCACGTGACTTTGTAAAGAGGAAAACAACAAAGAAAAAAAAGCTTTTGTTCCCTAGTTAGGTTATTGGGGAGGAAACCTTAGTTCCCTTCAATTAGTGCTTGTGCTTTGCGTGGAAACTTTTAATTTGTTTTTTTTTCATAAATATCCATATCAATTGGCATTAGAACACATGATTCTTGAGTAGAATGGGTGGAAATCTTCGGTCAAGTCTAGAGTTTGTTAATTTCATTTAGCCCATGTTTAGTAATTTCAGCCTAGAAATTGCCAAATTCAGCTTAGAGTTTGCTGACTTTTGTCCCTAGGATTTGTGATTTCGATGAACCTATGACAGAAAGAAGGGATCGTGGAAGGAGAGCTCCCGTAAACCTACCCTGACATTCCAAAGATGAAGAGATTAAGGATCTCAAGAGGCAAGTTCAGCAGCTTGCACAACAACTCATGGCTATCAATCATGGGGAAGACGATGAATTTTCTGCAAAAAAGATGTAAAGTACAAGCCCATGCTCTGCACGAGGAGTCGAGTAAAGAGGAAAGTAATGGACGACCTAGACGTGGGGGACATGACTTTAGGGTCTTCAAATTGAAGGTGGACATTCATGATTTTAACCACATTGTCTCCAAAATCAATGGGCTGTATATTGGGATTCTCAATCAATCTTTGAGCTTGCTCAGTTGAAGAACAATATCTTGTAGAAAATTTAATATACGACAATGAACAATATTTCGTGGTTGAGCCAATATTTGAGAAAGAAAACTATGAAGTCCAAGGCGAATCAATAGATGAAGTTGTTGGTTGGACAATCGAATCCAGCCGTCATCTCAAAGATGACCATGCGATATGTTCTAGGGCTGAACTTAAACCATTTCAACAAGTTTATGTGGCTGGACAGACTCTCTCGACATACAATGACACTCTCCTCGAGGTGTTTTCAAAATGTGCTAGTCTATTGATTTCGAAGCCCCAATCTCAATGCATAATCTCAAAACATAATATTGAGTTTGAAGAAGGTTTTGGAACTAATGCAAAGCCTACTTCAAAACTTGATGATGAATTTTCTCCAATTAGGGGAGTCTGATGTAGGACCAAATTATTCTAATTTTCATTTTTTATGTAATTTTCAACGATGCATATTTTAATTTGTTTCTAGGGTTATTTTCAGTGTTTTTAAGTTTTTTTGGGATTCTAGGGTTTTCTATATTTTTTGGATTTTAGGAGTTGTTCTATGGCCAGGAATTTAGCCCCTCAGATGAAGTCAATACAGTGCTTGCGGTGAAAAAAGAATTGAGAGAAACGTAAATATTATCAATGATAACATCAACAATAGAGTTGTAGATATCATATCAGATACAAATAAATTCTTGTACACATCACAAACTTGAAACTCTTCACTGATTGGGTTACAGGCACCATCAAACAGAATAAATAGATATACATAAATATTTAGGCAGAAGAAGCCATAGACAAGAGTTCAAAGCATGGACAGATATAATAAAAAAAAGGAAGCAACTACCACGCATACCAATTGAGTCCACAATTAGCACACAACCAAATCAATTTGTTACTTGTTAGTTGTTACAAAGTAAAACCAAATAACCTGTAAGTAAACAATAAAAAAAAGAGTCCAGATGGATTACTTAAAAGTGCAAAACTATAGTGGCCATTGGGGATGCTTCTATTATGTATAAAATAATAAATTAGAAAAGAATAAGCTACAAACAAATTACCAACCAGTTACATCCTTGCGATGTCCACAATAAGGTTCAAGCTCCTTCACAGTATCATAAAACTGAAAATATGATAAAGGTTGAAATGGTGAGTAGAGTCGAGATAGTAACACTGGGGAATAAGTTAATGGACTATTATTATACACTGTTACGGAAAAGAATGCCAGACAAACAATTATGCATGCATCAACAAGCCTTTAAAAAATTATGCATGCATCACGGAGTCAACGAACATCTATGCGTGCTTGTATAGGTAAACGTAGAATCAACACAATAGCATTTGGTGAACTCAAACAAAAGCATATTAATTTGCACTATGAGCCTTCATGCGGACATTCTCAAAAGATGAAAAAAAAATTAAAAATAACTCATCCCAAAGATTTGCTGAAGTAACAAAAAAGCAAGAGATCCTCCCAGCAGGTATATTAAATAAACTCTCTTTACAGCAAAATATTATCATCACCAAATGAAAGAAAAGGCTATATAAGATCAAAATGCCCCTCATGATCATCAGGATAACCATGATTTGCTAACTTGCCACCACATCATTAGCCGGGCCATGTGCAAAGACAAATATCCAGCAATCAACCACGAAATATCCTTCATACCATAAAATAATAATGCTAAATATAATGGGAGTAGGGAGCCCATTCATCTCCCATCAAATGACATGGATAACATTCCCTATATAAAAAGCAATCCTAAGAGGCGTCATACAAAAATGCATGACTGCATGGTCTCCAAGGCCCGTGTCCTTGAGAAAGCAGTGAACCCAAAGTTGATCATTAGCACTATAATTATAAGGCCACTTTCATCCCTGAACACTCCAAGTTCCCAACCTTACTTCCTTAAACTAAAAGAAACATGATTTGTAGAAAACATGTTGAGCACCAGTCTCAACACAAAAGACCTATTAGTACATCTGTTTCGATCTTAGTACAATAATATTGAGATGGAAAGTGCAAACTATAATACGAGATCATGAAGCAATGGTTTCATCAAGAACAAGAAGATAAGCTCACAGCTAAAAGAACACATTAATTCAAAGTAGACCATAGATAGCCATCGAAATTGCCAGATCTCGGGCAACCACCAGATTACTTAAGACAGCCATATTCAAGATGCAACATTAGGAAAGAAAGGTAAAATAATGAACTCACGGAAGCCTGCATAGAAGATGTTGACTTTAATGATCTGATCTTTTGAAGAAGTGAGCACCAAATTACAATTTTGATTCCATTTGACAAAAAACACCCAATTCTTTTGACCATGTCTACACATTTATAAATTATTATATTTAAATGGAAGTGAATCATTAAATTTTCATGGAAGCAAATCTCGTCTTTCAGTGAAAGTGTGTTCCAACTCAGAACGAACAAATTCGTTCCCTAATTTTGCATCCCAAAGTTTCACAAGGCTTTCCTTGCCACCTATAACCGTTTCGGTACATAAAACATCATAACAGCACTGCATAGCAATGAAGCAAAGTGCAGGATATGTAACACAATTCTTACATCCGAACCTGAAACGAGCAAACATTTTGTAGGGTGCCAGTCAACACTCTTTACATCCCATAGGTGACCTGTCTGAGTTTAAACACAAAAAAGAATCTCAGGTTATCCCTTGTTTGCAGTAATTGCATGTATCATCCCTTTAACATGATAAAACTAATAAAATGTATCATCCAAGGCCTGCATCTTCCAGTTCAAAGCAACAGGTGCAGTTATCAAAGAACTTCTTAGCAAGGGTGTAAACATATTTCTAGATTAGGTTTCAGAAGAACATTTGGAACAAGGAGAAAGTGTATGATGGCTTGAGGAGAACGAAGAAGATAAGGAACGACAAACAGAAAGAAGGAAAATGAGGATCAAACAAGAAATTGAGTAAATGTATTAATGAAATAAAAAATACTACGACAGAAAAAATAAGAAATAATTATGGCAGACGTAAAAAACATAGTTTAGTGCATGCACAATAAATCTAATATGAAGTACAATCGAGAATAAAATCCAATAGTGATCTTACACTCACCAAGAAAAGAATATTGCTCAACAGGAGTTTCAACAGATAAATAATCGCATATAACCAAGCAATGAGCAATAAGAAAACTAAACAACAGAAGTGTCAAAAGAATAAATGATATAAACAAGATAAATAATCTAAAGGGCAACTCTAAAGAAATCAAGATGTAGTTTTGAATTGGAGGAGAGATGTTCTCCAAACCCCATCGCATGCATCTTTTCTAGTGTGGCCAAAAAAGAATTCCAATAGATAAATAATTGCATATAACTACGTAATGAGCCATAAAAAGAACTAACAACCAGATGCGAAGTAACCATATGCTAATAGATTCTCACGGAGGAGTATGGGTAGAGTTTAATACATCGTTGGAGGCTTTTGGTTATTTCACAAGGATAAGGGCCTGAGTCCGTAAGGTGAAGCCCCAAGGAGATAACGAAGATGTGCAGACTTAAATAATATATTAAGAGGTACCTACAAGAAAGACAATACGGGAAGGACCGGATCAGCAGTTAAGAAGGAAGGCCAGTGAAGCATTTGTGCGCTCACAAAAGTGCTGGGGTAGTTGTATCAGAATAAGGTATGCTTAAACTTGCAATCCAACCAATGTTCTCCATGAATGGATATAATTTTAGCTTCGATACTAGAGAAGCAGAGTAGGAAATTGATGGAGCCCATTACAAAGGCATATTAGTTAGTTGATTGCGCTCAATAAAAGTGTCTTATTGAACTACATAGTCCAGGGGATCAAGTACATCCAGTGGTCTCAATTGTATTATTTGCCACAATCCCTTTATTATTTTATCGATTATCATATATAACACCACTGTTAAGCGTTGGATATGAGAAACCAAATATGACAGAGTATATAGGATAGATACCCAACACAGAGAAGTAGAGTCCAGTTACACACACACACACAGGAATCCCCAAATGGGATATCCATAGCACATGATAACAAGAATCTAATATTTACATGAAAATAATCAATTTGTCTGTACGTTTTGGCAGGTTTAACAATGAGTATGCCAAAGACCTCATTGGTAATGCACGTTTTGTTTCTATTAATTTGACCATTTTTTTAGCTTTTCTTTGTTTTTTTGCTCTTTACTTTTTTCTATAGAGTTCTTCAATTAGACTACCTTGTCCTCTAGATTTATCTTTGAAAGCTTCAGACTTCAGAGTTCCAGGAGTTGATTTTAGTTCATCAGAAGCCTGATCTATTTGTATATTGATGCTCTTACTATATCAGCTTCAACAATGAATATAATCTCATTAACAATGAAAGTTTTCTCTACCAAAAGGCTACTGCATTAGTTCATATTATTTTTCAAATTTTACTAAAAATTCCTTTGATTTGAACATTTTTCCATAGTTTATTGATCTTGGTACATGCCATGCTTTGCACGGCGCTGTACGAGTATGTTAAACACGGAAAATACAGGCCCCTACCCATTTTTAGAAATAATTAGCATTTTTCGAATGCGTTAGTGGGAATAAAAACCTAAACCAATAGCTGAGGAGGCTCAACTGGAGTTACAACCACAACCTCAACCCCATTCCCAAAATTTAGTACGTTAAACACAGAAAATTACAGGTTCTCCAAAGCCATCTCGATAAGTAAGGCGTAATTTCCAGCTCCGCTCTTCTTGGCATCGAGCAAAGTCCCATACTTTAATAGTATCATCATTAGAGCAAGAGCAAAATTTCAGGACCATCCTTGAGAAACTGTGAAAAAGAATAAGTCCATATATTGCCCATGGATGATTAATAAATACATGTCTGCTTGCAACTAAAAGTTAAACGATCAAAAGTTAAAAAAAAAAAAATTCTGAGAGTCACAAACACGTGCCTCAAGTCACGAACGTACTCTTTGTGTGCAGATTTATTAGCCTTCACATTATTCATGTCAGATAACATAGAAGTAAGAACTATACAGAGACAGGGTATCTCTTCAAAAAACAAGGAACAGAGTGGAGAGAGAGAGATCATCCATCAACAACCAGTATGCATGAATACACATAGAAACGAAGTAGAAATAGGGAACCCATCAAAACAAAAAAAATAACAAACCGAGAGAGAGAAAGAGAGAGATATAGAGAGAGAGAGACAGATCACCAATCAACAACCAGTATGCAATAATACACATAGAACCATAGCAGAAACAGGGGACCATAGAAACAAAAACAAAAAAGAACAGAGAGCAAGAGAGAGAGAGAGAGAGAGAGAGAGAGAGAGAGAGAGAGAAAGAAGAAAAGAGAGAGTAGCCATAAGAGCTAGGAGCTAGGTAAAAACTGGACTGCAATCCATGCCAAGTGTATCGACTAGGAGCCCCATGGATGATGGTCAAGAGTTCGGGACTCAGGTAGGAGCAGTTGCACCAGTCGCACCTCCACATCCACATCATGCCAACGGTTCCAAACCATGTTACCATTAAAGTAAGAGAAGGTAAAGCAACTGATACTTTGAACCATTGTCATAAGGAACAAAAGCAAAAAATGCTTAAATGCTTAACAAAAGTAATTAAAATCTCAAGATCACAACATTTCAGCCATTGTCATAAGGGATAAAATCAATAGGTATTGAACATGATTACCAAAAATATATACACCATACGTAAATACTGCATAAGCTTGAAAAATTGGGGGTAAATTGTGATAGTTTACCTGTTTAAGATGACCCCCGGACAATATATATTGATGAATTGACTTGACTCGACTCTGATGGCATCACTGTCTCATGCTAAAGTAAGACCCACAACCCAGATGTGGTCTAAGCCTGCCACCAGCTCATTCATGACTCTTGGCCATCTCCAAAACTGAATCTTGATGGAGTCCTGTCCAAAAGTTCATAACTTGATTCAATGTTTCAAGATCTATGAGATGTTTCTCTGAAAAGGAATGTACAAATTCTGGCTTCTGACTAGATTCTCACCGCATATCTGTCGTTCATCGGCCATCTTTTGGAGGTACCTCGCATGTTCCTCGATTTGTAACTGCAGTTTCCTTTGCAACTCGTTTCCTATAGACATCCAATTGGAAACATCTGTGTGTGTGTGTTTTTATTTGGTGAGTGGGAAGAGAAGTTCTCTGAAATCTAAATTCTAAATATTTTGGAAGTAAGAGCAGGTGGTTCTTGTGTTGATGAGACCAGCACCAATGTGGTAGTAGTATAGAATTCATAATTTCATATAAAAACAGAAGAACGATAGAGAGAGAAATTTAGTACAAGGAGAGTTGAAGGCCGGGCCAAAATCGAAAGCAAATTTAATGGGCCTCTGACACAAACAGACCAGGTGCCACATTACCGTTCCTCGAACAGATTGCCATATAAATGCACAAAACTTTGTATCAAGTGTAGCTTTGCCTCTAACATTTCAAGGGGACATTATAGATAAACAGCAAGAGAAGTTAGCATGTCAATATGATAACCCACTCAAAGTTTTAGAGGTCAAATTCAAATCATAAATGACCATTTCCAGGATGGTGGCAATCTAGGACATGGTTTTCACCAGGTGCTTAATAAACATCAGCTATGACCATTCAAATTCACATCCCAGCATCATCCCAAGTGGGAAACACCACAGTGGAGGTTAAATTCAGTTAAGCATCCATATTTAGTGACACTCCGATGTTGTTTTCCACATTCAAGAAGCCTATAAAGGATGCCTATATCACACAGAAACTGAACACATCAAAAGCATGAAATTTAAAAAAAGCAAGTAAACACTGGAAGCCACAACAATGTCAAAAATCACCTAAGAAACAGTGTCAGGTATGCGTTATACTAGAGCGAGAGAGAGAGAGAGAAAGAGAGATCAGCATAGAAAATTGCACCGGCAACCAAGAGAGGGAAGGGCTTCACTCTACCGTCTGAGTTGAACTACGATGGAAGAAAGCAAGGGCTGGGACAGCTTGAGAGAGCGCCATTACCACGACTCGACCTATGAACACTAGCTCTTGCACCACCCAACCGATTTTCTTCAATGGAGCTCTCTCTCTCTCTCTCTCAAACTCTAACTCTTGCACCACCCTACTGTATTTTTTCAATGGAGCTCTTGCATAGCTTGAAACAAATAAATAAAGCATCAGTACTAAAACAAAGATTGTTCCACAAATTTTGCTAGCCTGTAGATTTCAAAATAGGATGAAGTAAGCAACAAAAGCTTAATTTCAATTTTGTCACCACAAATATATGGCATGGGCTCCACTGGATGCAAATTATATGAACCAC